ATATGATTAACATTTCAGGTAGTTACCAAAAGACGTATTTTCCCTCATCCTTATTATCATAATGAATTATCTTTGGTTATGAGTGACCTAATCAATAAGACACTTATTATCAAAGAAATCATTTTTTTAAACAAGAAAATAGATAAATTAATGGAAATATTATAAATTAATCCCAAGTAAAAATTAGTTTTCGTTTGAAAAATAATAAAACAACAAAATCAAAATTTAAAAGTATTAATATAATAAATTTCCATAAATATGTAATACCGGATTTAAATGAGAAATATAAAATAAATTGTTAATATTATAATTAAATTTTTTAGTTATTATAAGAATTATTTATACGGTATTAAAAAAAACGTTCAAAAATATAATAATAATAATAAATGTTTTAGTGGCATATCAAGTCATTATGCCACTAATATCTATGAAATTTAGTGACACAAAAGATTAAATGTCATTAAATGTATTAATTTTTTAGTGGTATATAATAAGTGTCACTAAAAACCATGATATAGTGGCACATTAACCATATGCCACTAAAAATATGTGCCACTATATATCATTTTATTTGTAGTGAACGGGACATTAGTCTTTGGTGATGATTTCAGGGGAAATCGTTCCATGGATAATTATAGCATCTTCAAATAGATGTTTTTCCATGTTTAGTGAAAAAAATAGGAAAATAATATAAAAATAAATAACTAAAAGTAACAAAGTAGAATATATGATAAATATCAAGAGTTTTAAAAATATATATGTTGAGACTATTTAATAAGATTAAGTATTTTGACAAAAAAAAATGGACTACGATTGCCAAATAGCAAATTTGTGTGTAGAGTTGACTTGGTCAATGACCAATTAGTCAAGAAGAAAAGATTATGGGACTTTTGCATGAAATTGAGAATTTGTATTAACGCGTCATGGCAAATGGTCTCCATTTTGTAAGATAAAATACATGAGAACTAAAATTGCAAATAGGAAATGTTTAAGAGGGAGTAGAGAATACCAAGGTGATTTCGAGTTTATCTGGGAGATATAATGCTAAAAAAAATGAGGTATAATCTTCGTATATATCTTCACAAATTTGAGTTCTAGGGTTTGATTGATCATCAAATTCGAATTTCATGTTCTCCTTTTAAGTTTATGTCAAGATCTAGTTGCAATTCTAATTCTACTTCATGATTTCCAATTCTACTTCACGATTCAACCAACAATTTCATTTTGCTTGCTATATTTTTGATACATGGAGGTTTGGGGAAGAGTTCTAACCATATGCTCCTTTCATGGCTTACTATATTTTTGATACATGGAGGTTTGGGGAAGAGTTCTAACCATATGCTCCTTTCATGTGTTTATGTCAATACTCATGGCAATGGTGCGGAGCTACGCGGGGCGTTGGGGTACTACAACATCCCCAAAAAATTGTTTTATGTATATAAAAAAAAATCTATTTTTAAACATATTTTATATTGTTGTACCCCCAGCTAAAAAGATAATATGATGTTTTTTAATGCCCCAGATATGATAACTACATAGAATATCTATTGATAATGTTTGTATCCCCATATAAATTTTTTTTGCTCCGCTACTGACTCATAGTTACGTTTTCTAGTCTTATTTCCAATTGGGTCTATATGTATTTTAATTGGGATTAGGGGGTTTTCATAACCCTATTTAACCATATATATATATATATATATATATAATATATATATAGATATATATATATATATATATATATATATATATATCAAAATTTGTAATTTTTGGTTCATTATAAATAAACATCTATATCAATGCACGTTTTTTAGTTTTTAGTATCAGTTTGCAAATTCATACATGAATATGTATTATATATGTAAATGATCATTTTACAGGATTTTTGTGATGATCAAAACGTTAACATACTAAAAAAAATTGAATTATAACTTACATTCACATGTTAATTCAATAAGATTCACCTATGTATATTTATTCAAATTGACATATAAAAATGATAATCCATATTATTAATCATTCACACAAATATTAATCATTAGAATTCCTCATTCATTATAACTTAGATTCACATGTTAGATATTTAACATTTATATTCATCATTCACATTTAATGGTACCTATGTAGACTAAAAAAGTCAGAAACTATAGTTCAAATTCTAATGTAAGTCTAGCCTGAAACATTAAAAAATAAGTTAAAAAAAAAGTTTATTTATATATATCGGTATAAATGTTTATTTATAGAGGACATAAAATTTATGAATTTAAAAATATTCGTTTTTTCAAAATAAAACCTAAAGCTCTAAAAATGGAAAAAATAAAAAATTGAAGTGGTTGTTTTATAATCTTGTATATGCTCATCCACTATAAAACACAATAACTGTATGAATAAGATTGATTTCTTACTTTTTTTTATGTATTGAACACAAACACACACACACACATATATATATATATATATATATAATATATATATATATATATATATATATATATATATATAGAGAGAGAGAGAGAGAGTTTTTGGAAACCAAAATATTTGCGAGAACTTGAAAACTTCTAATCCGTTCATCATTTTTCAAAACCAAAACCAGAAATATTAACGAAAAGCAGGGTCTAAGGCATAACTAGGTTAAAAATAAAATTGACGATTTTTTTTTGTGAAAAATATTCTCATAAATATGCATATCTGCATATATATATGAATCAACAGTCATATCTGTATCCGCAGTCCATATGACTGCGGACGTATAGTTCTTAAGTTCTCATAATAATTCAGTTATATATATATATATATATATATATATAATATTATATATATATATATATATAGAGAGAGAGAGAGAGAGAGAGAGATAGGTTCAAACGTGGATTGACATCCATTGTGCGGACGTGTGGACAAAACAATTTTGTGAGAATGATAAAGAAAATATGTTGTTTGATAATGTGAATACGTTAAATCTTACATAACTATTGTCATTATTGTGCATTCTCGCTAATTAAATCGTCTATTAGGCTATTATAAACTTTTTTTTTATTATTCTGTCCACACGTGTGCACAATAGTTGTTCATCCACATTATATATATATATATATATATATATATATATATATATATATATATATAGGGCCGGCCCTAAGAGGGTGCAAGAAGTGCATCCGCATAGGGCCCCGGAAAAAATAGGGCCCGAAATTTAGTCCTATTATCTATTTAATATTTGTATATATAATAAGTCGTTCAATAATAAAAAGAAAGTTCATTTGGTTCGGCTGGTTAAGCGCTTCTTATAAGAGGTTGAATTCTCTTCCACCCAGGTTCGAAACTTTTTTCAGGTCTATTATTTTGCTTTAATTCCTTTGCCTGCTTCCATTCAAAGCTTTGTTTTATTATTATTTGGTCTTAGTTTCTTTGCGTCCTTCCATTCAATCCTCTCTTTTGTTAAATAGTTCTTTTGTATCCACTAAAAAAATGAGATTGAAAGGTTCAATCTCCTTATCTCATTCATTTAATACTTTATTAAATCATCGAAATAATTTTTTTGTTAAAAAATTAGCTACATGTTCCATTTGATTCAACATCTAGATTGTTTTCATTTCACTAACCAGACAACCACCCATATGTATTTGTGGGAGAGCGTTTTCAAAGGGTTTTGTCAGAAACTAATTATACTTTTTTTTATCGATTTTACTAAAAAATATATTTCGATCTGTTTGAATGATTACAATATAATTTCAAAAACACAAAATAGAATTTGATATAATTTTCATAAATAAAGTGAAGAATATGAACATAACATAGAATATGATTTATTTTTAGCATCTTTGGAATTTGATCAAACATCACATAAAATATGATTTGTTTTAAAAAATCGACGTAGTTTTATGTCTATCCATTGCAAATTTGAATTTTCAGGGCCCACTTTTTTTACTTTTTGCATAGGGCCTTCAAAATCAACGGACCGGCCCTATATATATATATATATATATATATAGATATAGATATATATATAGAATATATATATATATATTAAACTATTTGCACAAAATAACTAATTGGCTTGAGAAACTAATTTCTGAAAGTAATTATTCATAACTATCGTGTATCGTGTATATATATATATATATATATATATATATATATATATATATATAGAGGAGAGAGAGAGAGAGAGAGAGAGAGAGAGAGAGAGAGAGAGAGAGAGAGAGAGAGAGAGAGATTGTACTCGTATTTTCAAACCTCTTAATAATCAATACCCATCAAACACACCTAACTATCCAAATGATATGAACAAAAAGCAATAGTTATAACTGTATTATACATTTATACTTGTCTTAATTGTAAGTGGGGTCTATTAGGTTCGGGCATGATAATTATTTGTCTTCGTTCGAGAACATTATGTGTTTCTTTTATATTGAACGTGATTCCCTTATATTTTAAACACCTTGATGGCATGCAATTGGTATAAAACTTATGAATGTCTTTTAAAATTGAATAAAAAAAGCTTTTGTCGTACATGATTTTGTACATATTCTCAAGCTACCTATATAGAAATATATGAATCCTTGACCATATGGAAGTGAAGACGACGCATTAGCGGACAAAAGTCCAGTAAATTAAGACCATATTAATCTTGCTTGATAAACTTGTAAAAATGTACTTTTATATACTTGGGCAGCTTTGACTTAGCGTTTCAAGATCGACATGATCATATGCATGGTATGAAAACACGAGGCTGATACCTTTGATGATGTACACATGGATCAAAAAATAGGCGTCTTATAACTAGTAACGATATGATGATGCCAAGTGAAAATTATACATTTTAAGACTTTTAGATGGTTAAAAAGGATAGCCAATCAAGAATAACACCCACCGGCACAAAGCAGAAGAATTGAAAGAAAAGAACTTCATTTTTCTAGTAGTAATTTTTCCATTAATTTCCACCATCAAGTACAGATGAACACAAACCCCAACAAACTGTGTCGAAGTTTCTGATCTGAACCTTCTTTAGTAAACCAAAAAACATCCTCACAAAGCCTTACAAATAATAACCTAAATGATCATCTTCTCTTACTTGCCACTTAATTACAAGAAGTTTTAATTAATTTTAACCTAATTAGTAAAAGTAGGAGCACATTCCTTTCTGATAGTGTGTTGCCTTGTTTCCATCACCATCATGGAACAAATAGCCGTTGAGGTTGTGTTTCACTTCCTCAAGATCATTATGCAATGGACTTACATGGTTCGCGAACATGAACTCTTTTGGCTTCTGATTGACCATCAAACTCTGCGTTTGAATTTGATCTCCAAGAACCTGATCATGAAGTGTCATTTGGTCAACTTCTTGCTTGATCTGATACTGATTCTTCTGATGATGATCTTTGGTGTAATTCACATGGCTAGATGAACATGCTGTACTTCCAAACATGAGCATGCCTTCTTTCATAGTTGATGCAGCGTAGTATGCCTTCATTGGACTGTTGCACATGGTATGAGGGTCATCTGGAAACCCTAGATAATTATTACAGTTATCATTAACATCAATGGTGGTGTCGCTTCTCATCAAACTAATTAGATTATTTGCAGATGGTGGGTGTGGTGATGAGATATCAGCAGCAACATTAATATGATTAATATCATGAACAGGAAGAGAGTTGGAAGTGCTGTCAACATTCATGAAGTTAGGGGTATAAGTGTAAAATGATGATGAAGTGGTTAAGAAGTTGTCTGGTGCATGATGATCATATGGTGGTGGTTGGAATGGCGAAGATGGAAAAAAAGTTGGTTTTTCCTGAAGGGAAGGAACCATTGTCAAAAGCCTCTTCTTCAACTTGGTGTTCCAGTAATTCTTGATATCATTGTCGGTTCTTCCCGGTAGTTGAGCGGCTATTACCGACCATCTGCATATACATTTTTGGAAATAATTGATATTAACATCTACATTTTGGAAATTAGATAACAATCAACCTCTCCATATTAATAAAAAAAACAAATTTAACAAGCAACTCCACATTTGAATCAAGAAAAACTGAAAAAGAAAGACTGACGACTCTTTGATTTTAGCATATATGCATGCACCAATATTAGTCAAGATTTCAAGAATCTTTTGTAGAGATTAACCAATCTCTCTCTCTCTCTCTCTCTCTCTCTCTCTCTCTCTCTCTCTCTCTCTCTCTCTCTCTCTCTCTCTCTCTCTCTCTCTCTCTCTCTCTCTCTCTCTCTCTCTCTCTCTCTCTCTCTCTCTCCATGGATTAATTTGACCTAACTTATAGTTGAAGTACATAAATATATACTTACTGTCATGCAAAAAGGGAGATAATTATGGAATGAATAGGGTGGAAGAGATCCAAGTACATCAGTTTTATTTGTATATCAGTGAAAGTAGTCGTTAGTTTGCAAGCACAAAGTTAGTAAAAAGAAAAGATCCAAGAGAAAACCTGCTACCAATGTTGGCATACAAACTGCAGATGATCCTGTCTTCTTCATCAGAGAATTCACCATGTCTGATATTGGGTCTCAGATAGTTTAGCCATCTCAACCTGCAACTCTTCCCACATCTTTTGAGACCTGTTCATACTCAACCCCAGTTAAGAACCTTTTAGTTTCTTTTAAGAAACACACACAATTAGATTAAATGATTAATGAGGGTTTAGAGAGAGAAATATACCAGCTTTTTGTGGAAGAGCAATCCAGTTACCACCAGTACCAAATTTCTCGATGAATTCTTTGAGTTTTGCATCTTCTTCAGGAGACCATGGCCCTTTCTTCACACTTGCTTTGTCACAACAAGGGGCTCTACCCATTTCTCTCTCTCTCTCTCTCTCTCTCTCTCTCTCTCTCTCTCTCTCTCTCTCTCTCTCTCTCTCTCTCTCTCTCTCTCTCTCTCTTATGTATCTCACTTAGTTGGATTTTTTTTTCCAGAAGCAAATGTCTTTCTTTCTCTCTCTGTCTTTGACTGAATGGACAAATGTGTTTGGTGGGTTTGCTTGATGGGTTTTATGGAGGGGGAGTCTACGAGAGATCTGGATGGATGGAAGTCAGTAAAGAAAAGATTTTATAAATAACATGGTAACACAAGTCAAACTCAAAGAGGGACATTGGCCATTGAACTTTATTATAATTAATTATTTTCAATAAAGTTTTAACTAATGATTATGTACTCTTAGACTCCAAGATTCCTATTTACATTTTGCTTATTGCAAAATCTTTCCTACGTATTTAAACTTTATATTTCATTGACAAAATTGTAAAAATGGTCCTGTGGTACGATTTTTTTGGGGTTTTAGTTCAAACTCCGACTTTTTTGGGTTGGTGGTCATTTTGAGCTAGTTTGCTTGTAATTTTGGTCCCTGTCGAAACTAAAAGACTATTATACCCTTAATGAATTTAATTTTCATTTTTCTTTCACTTTTTAATATTATTATTATTATTAAATATAAAAGTGGGCCCACTTATCAACCCCACCTCCCCCCCCCCCCCTCTCAACAAATACAAGTAGAATTAGAAGCTTTCTTCATCATCTTTAATCTCCAAAAAAACCACTAAATGAGAAAAAATCCACCGATCATCATCAACATGAAACATCATCCTCTACACCAGGAAATCACTCCTAAAAAGCAACAATCCAACCCTTCCATTTCTTATTTTCCTTAAACTAACTTATCTTCTACTCACTAACGACAACCCCGACCAAATCACAACCACAACCACCGTCTGATCTACTTCTTCTTCCTTTTTCTACCTCTTATACTTTCCTTCGTTGCCACCAATCTTCCTCTGCAACTTATTTCACTTATGTCTCTGGAATCATCTCTGGTCGACCCTTTCAATATGTTTCAAGACTGGGATCCATCACCTTCGTTATCTAAACTCAATCGATGTCTCTGATCTACCAACCTACGTCCAAACAAGACCCAATTGTGAAATCAATATTAAAATCCGAAAGAAGTGTGAAAATCAAACGCAATCGATGTCTCTTGATGTATATTAGAAAGGTAATAGAAAATGAATAAATTGTATCCTTAATATTAGCTGATGTTTGCAAACTAAATAAAGTATTACTTGAAAATTGGGGATAATTTGACAACAAATCACGAAATGGAAATTTTCATATTAACGAGTGAAACGATATCTTGCCATCTTTACTTTATCCATCAGTTGTCAAAATGAAGAGACGATTCATCAATCTCACTGAGACTTATCAACAGGGGAATAGAAGTAGAAAGAAATTGCTTGAAATTGAAAAAGAAATCAAGGTTTTCTTGATAAAAAAAAGATTGCAGAGCAACGAGATGAAGAAGAATTAAATACCTCAAAGTTGTGTGCTTGATAAGTCACTATGTTGGTGGCTTCAACCTCTCATCTCCTTAACAAACCACAATTGTCGGAGAATCTCGGAGTTGCAGGTCATATTAGGGAAAATCGATAGAGTTATCTTCTGTGATGGGTACTGGGAAATTGCTGTTAGACGAATTAAGGATCAACATTCTTGAAGAAGACAAAAGAAAAAGGAAAGAGATGGAGAAGAATTCGTGAGGTTTCTAAAGAATTCAAGATCAGTGTTTTTTGGGGGTTTTGTTGAGAGAGGGAGAGAGAGGGAGGGAGGGAGGGAGGTGGGGTGGATAAGTGGGCCCACTTTTATATTTAATAATAATAATAATAATATTAAAAAGTGAAAGAAAAATAAAAAATAAATTCATTAAGGGTATAATAGTCTTTTTAGTTTGGAAAGGGACCAAAACTGCAAGCACACTATCTCAAAATGACTACCAACCCAAAAAGGTCGTGGTTTGGACTAAAACCCCAAAAAAATGCATAACACAGGGACCATTTTTGCAATTTTGTCTATTTCATTAAAAATTTTACTACTTATTTAAACTTTACATTTTGCTTATTGCAAAATCTTTCCTACGTTTCATTAAGAATTTTCAAACTATAAACCTGTTCAATTTTAAACTAGAACAAATTACTAAAATCATCCTTGTGGTTTGGTCAAAATTGCGTGTTTGGTCCCTAACTTTTTTTTGCACTCGGACCGTCCTTGTAATATGATTTTGTTACGTTTTCATCCTTAACACAATTAAAAAGACTATATTACCCTTTGTTTTTTATTTTTAAGTTTTTTATTATTTATATTATTTAAAAAACTAATAAAACATGTGGGGCCCACTAAACTCTTTCATCTCGGTTAAACCCATGGACCACCATCTACTTCGTCTCTCTCATCTCTCTCTTCCCCCGCTTTTCTCTACTCCAGATCCTCAAAGATCATTGGATTCCCCTGAAAGAACATTGCCTCTCCTCCCTCTGCCCCTCTGCTTTTCCTCCCTTTGCCCCTCTCCTTGATAATCTCGAACCCTAGACGAGACCATTGCCTTCGTTCGATTTTCACACCGACGTTCAGTTTTCAGGTCTGTTACGAACATTGATGTGTGTAGATGGAGATAAGTTTTACCAGAACCTCATTGTTTTTCTTTTCTTGATGGTGACAAAGTAGATTTCATCAAGTTCGGTTCCCTGATGGAGATAAGTTTTGCCAGAACCATGTTTCTCATCGTCACCCTGGTTGCAGCGTTCACCTCTATTTCTAGATTTCATCAAGTTCGTTTTCCATGTTTAATTTTGATTCAAGTTTGATTTTGTAGTTTGTACTAAGATACAAATGCCCATTTTATGTTTAATTTTGAGATTTGATTTCAGATTTGATTACATGGTTTGGTTTTATCTTTTTTTGGTTTGGTTCTGAGCTTTGAATTTAGTTTTGATCTATGGTTTTGGTTTAGTGTTGATTGTAGGTTTTGATTTTGTATACATTGATTACTGTTTTTGTTTGGTTATTATTTTGTAAAAAGTGGTGGGTGTGGTAGTTGATCTGGTGCTTGATTTTTGTTTAATTTCTTTTGATTTGGTGTAAATTGTGGTGGTTGCTGGAGATCAACCATGTTTGAACGGAGGTGCTGCCGGAATAGTTGCCGGAGGTGTTCGGTGGAGGTGGGCGATGGGTAGTGGATTGGAAGGGAGACGGAGGTGTGGAGTAGATCGACTCCCTTATTTATAAATTACTTATAATTCATTTATATTAATTAATTAATAAAAATAAGTAAAAAAACTGAAAAAGAAAATATAAAGGGCAATATAGTCTTTTTATCTTTACAAGAGACGAAAAACGCAAAAATATGATATGTTAGGGACGAAAAACGCAAAAATATGATATGTTAGGGACCATCCGAGTGTAAAAAAACGTTAGGACCTAACGCATAATTTTACCCAAACCACAGGGACGATTTCAGTAATTCGTTCTTTAAACTATTATGCAATAATTTTTTAAAAATGTTTGAAAGAAAACATACCATTACTTCTGTTTTTGACAAAAAATTTATAATTTTGATATGCTTTTAACCATTATAATGCTTAATTCATCTTACAAGAATAATAGATATCAAATGGTCTTTTAGCCTGTATGAAGTGACTCTCTCATTTGAGAGGTTATGGATTCAAGTCTCGCTTGAGACATAGACGACGATAATTAGGAGTATATTATTTTGTCGTTTAAAAAAATTAACAACATAAATAATGAGAAAGACACCAATATTAAATACAACATAAAAAAGACGTGAAAGGCTATGCAACCCAAGATTGACTCTCTCTTAATTTTACCGCAATTCATTGATAATGCTAGGCGGAGTGGCACAACACTTCCTCAGCAGATGCTAAGGTGTGCTTCGTGCACAGTACCGCCTCCCAACCTCGGCATGCCAAGGTGAGAAGCCTGGTTTGGAACCCATCCTCTGAGTCTTTCAACTCTTTGATTGTTTGCCTAGCCAATCCAACGACTATACTTTTTGATTTTTTTTTCAATTCAAAAATTTTATAAATACTACCTTTAATACCATTTTATAAAACATCAACATTTTCTTCATTTTTACTCTAAAAATGTCATCATCTTCATCTTCATCTTCATCTTCATGGACTTTTAACTCGGTGATAAAATTCACGATGGAGGTTTTGTAAATGGTGGAAGTCAAGATCGAAGAACTATGCCAGAGTAGTGCTGAAAACGTGAGGTGGGGGAAAAGAAAATATGTATATAGAATCGTGAAACTATCCACCAACGTCTCATGCACGAATATTTTGATGAGTACGTGGTATTTTAAAGCTAATTTTTTCGATGGAGGTTTCGTAATTTATTTCAGCGATAGTCAACGAAGTCACGGAAGCGTGTCCATATTTCCACCAACGCCCAATTGAAACATCCCAAAAATACAGTCTAAAAATTTCATTTTTATTTAATAATAAAACCATAATCATCAAACGTCATATAAAAATCATAAACAATGTATCTCAAAATATAATAACAACTGTCAAATATATATCAGAGTATAAACATCCCAGGCTGAACAAATGGTGTTTGTGTGCTTTGCAATCTTCCCGAGCTCCTCTTTTGAAAACTGATGTACCTGAAACCAAAACTGAAAACTGTAAGCACGAAGCTTAGTGAGTCTCTCTAAACTACCACATACCATACACATGTCACACAAACAAATCGTGGGCCACACCCTACTACATCGGGCCCTACCCGACATCGATCAAAGCTCGGTATACAAATGACCATATCAACAATCACATCAACATAATCACATAATCATAAACATAACATTGGGCCTTGCCCGCTACATCGGGCCCCGCCCGACATCGGCTTACCCGGCATCGGGCCCTGCCCAGCATCCGACCGCATCGGGCATCGGGCCCCGCCCAGTATTGAACCAAAGTCTGGTACACATGTAATATATCAACAAGCACATAACATACACATAACATAAAC